GGCAAGCAGTGCAATGGAACAGAGTGAGCTAGGCTTTAAAATATTTGATTCTAAAGCAATTGCGGCCTATAGCTTACAATTGCAACAACAGCAACAAGTTCACAGACAACCTCCAAATGCTTTCCTACAGCAACTTCAGCCCCCAAATCACAGTCATTACTCACCTCCTTACCACGGAATAAGTCAAATAGCCGATTCAGACATAGCTACTGGTTCTTCCACCGTACTGACAGCCATTGAAGCGGACTCGAAACAATTTAGAAAGGAGCTGGACATTCTACCGCACGAGAAGAAGAGTGATCACACCTTTGACGGACCAAGAGCAAAAAATAGCGAACTTTGTACTCATGACCAACATAAATCACAAAACCCATTGGAAAAGGATGTTTCGGAACGAGTCAGCTTTATCGAAGTCGCGGAACAGGATCAAGGAGATAAACCAAGTCCATTACTGATCCGGCGGGTTGCTGTGTCTGTTGAGATAAACGCATTGGAAAGAGATTCGTGTGCTACAACATCAGACTCCTGCCCGATAGGGCATTTCAGGGAAGAGATCGAGGAGAATGCGTGTCTTCAATCGAAAGCCGCAGCCTCAACGTCACTTGGCCTGCCCATTTCAAAACCCTGTCATCCTCTTCTCGCCTCTGAATTGAGCATTTCATCCAGCGGCCAGCCAAAGAGTAGGAAAAAGTCCCACTGCCTTGCAGGACTACTCGAAGCTCGGCATCGACGTAGTCACAGAAAGCTTCGCGGAGCAGCCTCCGATGCCAAACTGAGTTGGTGTTTGGCATGGCTTCACCTTGTCTGCAATTTCGCCGTAAATTACGATTGGTACCAACGTCACCACCAGATCACTTGGATGGAGCCAGACATGCAACAGCGCTTCGAATTGCTCAAATTCACCTACTTCAAGAACAAGGCCATTCCACTCTACTCTAACTTACGTTACACTCTACTATTGCCTGTTGTACTTTCTATCAGTAAAGCTGGACGCCGAGAACTGCAATGCCATCTAGTCAGTCTGCTCTGCTGTCTGCCATGCTGGCGAGCGGGGAACCTTTTTAAGCGTGTCTTGCGCCAGTTGGGCGCCAGATTACTTCTCCTGGCTAGTACCTGTACATTGAAGGCCATCAGTGTGTTCGGTCGTGCCTCTGATCACGACTTCTCGAATGCACAGTCGCATCAACTAGAAGTCGTCCGGTCTAACAATGATGCAGTTTCCTCTTGCTCGGTGTCCTCAGACTCATCCCTATCTTCAGCATCCTCCCTCGAACCGGCACAATCTGTGCTGCCTTCCAGAAAAAGATACCAATGCCGTGACCTTGCTGAAGAACCAGTACATCATACTAAATCAACGCATACGATGAAAGTTGGGAAAGTTGACGAATTGCGAGCCTATAAGAGTAAATACCTTAGCGGCCAGCGACCCGGACAATCAGAGGATTGCGGAAAAGTTGGCAGGAGTCGGAGCTCGTTAAGGTCACCCGCCAGCTTAAATTGTGGCTCCTGGCGCTGCTGGTGCCAGTTTGCAGTACCCAAACGTTCCTCAAATCACAATGCTTGGCGCATACCTAAAATCAGGTGTAGTATATGGTGTTAACTTGGCTACGAATATGTATTTCATGAATATTATTAATTTTTGTATCTCAACGGGATACCATTTTTAATATTAATAATATCAGTAACATTCTGATTATTCTGGTCTATCAATATAAAGTTAAAGATTCACGCGGATAAATAGATGAATTTAAAACTTGCACTATAATTCAGGGTCATTTCGCTTCATTGAATTTGTATTTTTTAGTACGACCACTCTGCCCAGGCACTAGTTTAAACCATATGTTTAAGATGATGAATGACTGATAGTAGAATTTTTCAACGATCATATGAGTAGAGCTGACGTTTCCATTGAATTTCACAAGGCTTTGCTTTCCCAAAAGTTGTTCTCCTCTAAGATGGACTGCAGTTTCGGACTCGCATCGGTCTTATCAACACCCCCAGCGGGAGTCGAACCTTGATAGTGCAGAATATGAGCTTGACACTCTTTGTGAAATTCAATGGAAATATCAGTTCTATCCATATCATTGTGGGAAAATTATACTGCCAGTCCTTTATCACCTTAAACGAAATAGGGTGAATACATCTCATATTAGTTTAAACCAATTTATGGAGTTCTAATTCTACACCAAAAATATATTTACTATATAGTAAAAAATAGTTTTGACAAAATTTGATAAAATCAAATGCTTTTTATGTGAAGAAACAAAGTATTTAAGCT